ATTTAATGTTTTCCGTCCCGTTTTTGCTCATGTCTCGGAGGCAAAATGAGCAAGAACGCTCATTTGTACATCATTCTAGACAGAAATAGATGGCCTTTTTAGAAAGTGAACCATGGATGGGGAATTGTGGGCAGTTTTCTCAAAAAATGCTTGAATTCAAGAAGTTTTAGATTTGCGTGTTTTTTTTTTTGAGTTGCAAAATCCACTTGAACATAATGCTGCTTTTTTCGAAGTTTCTCAAGAACCATTCGAGCTACAGAATTCGTTTTGGCATTGTTGGATAGAGAATTGAAAAGTCGATTCAGTCGTAACAACGTGAGTGAGGAAATTCGAGTAGTTTTGACACAGAAAGCGAACTTTGAATATCAGACACTTGGGGGAAAGATTATGCCAAAATTTAATGTTTTCCGTCCCGTTTTTGCTTGATTTTGCAACATGCTTACAGCCTTTCTACACTATAGATTGATCAATAACAAGTCCAGCAATAGATTATTCAGAAAAGGTACAGCTGCGCGACCTTAGTTCTCTATTCGCTATGTCGACCACAATTTTTGTTACCTGATTTGGAAATATACCTTTCCACAGTATGAATGCAACGCGCTTTTCAAAAAGCAGATTCTCACCCCAGAACGGTAAATCATGCCGCTGACACTTCTTACACAATGCCCCTACACCTTTTGACTTCATTGTAGGCTTAATATCTGGTCTACAATGCTCTAAGGGAAATACTCAATGAATATAAGAAGTTTTGGAATCATGTTAGGAATTACTCGTATACGAATTCTGAACTGTAACTCGAAAAATAATGAAATATTTGCCACAATTACATTTTCGTTTATAAGTGACAATTCTGGGTCTGCCCAAGTGGTGTAAGCCAACCAACCCTAACTAACCCGGTAAGGACAACATTCATTCAGCATTCAGTCAGTACAAAGTTTCTTTAAAATGACCACTTCAAATTAAACGGCCATTATATTTTCTTATTATCCCAAATACATTAGGTTTATATAACTGTCCGCTAAATAAATAAACAATATAGTAATTAATATTAACTGTCCGTTTAAATCTTCAAATAAAAATTACAGCGAAAAGTGATTGAGTATTACACAAGCACCTGTGTGCTAATGTAGCGCAAATAAATGTTC